TCTAAGACAATGCTGATGTTATATAAATGCTGTTTTAATGTAAGGATAAATAGCAGCACTCTAAGAATTTGTACTGATTGATAAAAGCAGATAAAAATAAGTTTATCTCAAAATTATGGGATTTACTTTAAATATGTAAGAAATGAAAGCGTTTAGCCATTATCTGAACCTTGTATCATAAGAGGCTCTCAGTTCAAAGTAATCATTGAGTGTCTTGCATGTTGTTTATGTTTAACACAATGGATTGAAATTGATGGGTGAGTAAATGGTCTCTGAAGAATTTAACAGCATGCCTTAAATCTAATTTAATTAGACCGACTGTGAACAGTCAAGATATCTCCCTCAGGATTTTTCTCTGCAAAACTGAATTAATTTTCCATTAATTTCAGTAATTCATCCCCGTCCTTGAAAGGCCCCAGATCTCCTATGTATGACATTATTTAGGGTGTATCTGAAATGCTGTAGAAATTTTACAGCAGATATAACATCATATACACGTTCCAATCAACTATATCCATTAATCATGTAATATCTCAAAAAAGCTTTTCATAATCCACAGGGACTAAGGATGTTTCTCTTCAACCATAAGAGGATATATGGGTAAAATCTCTAAAATATTACTTTGCAGTAGAGCTGCTCCCTTTTCAGTCAGAGAAAGCTGAAGATACAGTAAGTGCTGCTAGAGTAATCTGTTACAGGTAAGGTTAACAAGAAGTATTACTTTTTGATAGTTATCGGATGCAAACACCTGAAATGTTTAGCCAAATCCTCCATCAAAATCATGTTTTAAAAAGCTCTTTCCACTGATACATTTCTAAACTGATCATTTCTTTTTAGCGGGGTTAATGATGTTGTGCAAATGCAGTGGGTGATAATGGCTCCAGTGGTCTGAGCCTCAAATCCTTCAGGTTCCTGCTACCTTTACATGTGTCCCTTGCCCTACACTTGTGATTAAAATGTTTAAACTTTCTCACTTACATCTAGTCAAAGTATACAGAGCTCTTCCAATATGCTATTAATTGAGTCAACAGAACTCAATGCTTTCTGTTATCCAGTGAGCATAGATGACTGTGCTACTTTTACAACAGGTGAATCCATAAACGTAGTTCAAGACTTGGTTATAAATAAAAACAGCTTTAACTGTTATGCATACATGAAACCCCTCACCAACTCATAACCCTATTTGTTTTCTAAGCGTTGCCATTCTACTCCAGAGCGCTATCCAAAGCAAAACAAACGTATTGGTGGGTCAATCCCATATTCAGTTTAAGCTCTTCGATCCACATCAGCCCCCCTGATATTGGGTACCAAGTACCAATAATGAAAGAACAACTTAACAGAGAACCATTGACCTAATAAATTAGATCATAAATGAAATTAGAAGTTGTCAACCCTGACACTGGCTAGCAAACTTAAGTAAGGTGACACCATATGATCTCTTGAGGACCTCTGGAGGATTATTCTTCATAAAGTAAAGAACATTATGGACAACAGTGAGCATCCCCTTCAGAGGTTTTTTTTATGGCACTAGTGGCACGTTTTTCTGACAGTAGGCTGTAGGAAAGGGGGTATGAGAGAGACGGAGAGACATGTAGCAAAGGACCACAGGCCAGATTTGAACCCGGGTTGGCCACATGGAGGACAAAGACTTCCTAACATGGGTCATGCACACTAACCACTGCTCCTCTTACGGAGGATGTGTGCAGGATACAGTAGACATAGGGATACAGTAGATCCTACCTACAGCTATCAACATCTACAACACCTGTTTGAGAAAAACAAAAACCTATGAGATGCTGCGAAATTTAATTTCCCTTTGGGATTAATAAAGTAATTTTGAATTGAATTGAATCTCTGTAGGGTGCAATGGAATCTCAAGACCATATAGGGATTCTAAAGAGAAACGTGCTGTTAAGTGCTAGAAAGCTTGATCTCAGTAGCAAGTTATGGGTCTTCAACAGGCTAATGACTCAAAACTCCCACAAATGGATAAGAGCAAGTCATTGGACAATCCAGAAGTGGCCTTCTTTGAGCCCTGTCCTAAATCCTATAAAGAATCCTTAGGAGGTAAAGGCTTAGAAAAATGGCATCTTAAAAAGGCACCTTTCAAACAGAAACCACTGACACAGTTATTTGATGAGTGGGCAACCATGCCTGCTGAGAGGTAAATGAGTCTAATGGACAGTTAAAGCAATTGTTTGATGGTAGTGATTGCCTCAATAGGTTTTGCAGCAAAATATAAAGTTAAGGACACAATTATTTTGTCCAGGCTTGTTTCATGAGTTTTTTTTTTTCACTATATTGAAACATGGTTGAAAAGCAATGTCTGACTTTCATTACTTTATTTTCATAGGATTTTTATAGATCATTACTTTTGTCAGATTCTAGATATTTCTGACTATTTTCCAAGCAATACAAGGCCTTGTCTCTGACTATTATAGCGTTTTCCAAGAAATACAAGACCTTGTCTATATAAAGACTCAAACTCACTGCGGATCCAGACATTTGAATTGAGAAAGCTTCCTGGGGGGGATGCAAAATGTCATCAAACCTTGGAAACCAAGTCCAGTGGATTGTTTTTTAATCTTTTACAGAATTATGGCGTTTCCTTTCTTTAAATGAGGGGTATCAACAATTTTGTTCATGTGAGTATAGATAAATATAAATGTTCACAAGTACATACATTGGGGTGAGAAAAAAAAGTTTAGCAAACTATTTATTTAAAAAAAAACAACCTTACAATGAAATGGGCTGTTTGTCAGCTGATTTATACAGTAGATTACAACAAATCATTAAAAAGCGTAAACGTTCAGAATATGTGGATTAAGTACAATTTTCTATCAGGGATCCACACTGTCATGTCTTTTTTGGCCTGCTTCCAAAGACCAAAAAAGATTTCCCTCTCCAAAGTGGTTGGACTGTTGAGCTGATTAAGCAAGGCCTCTCGAAGTCTGCCATTGCTGCTGAAGTTGGACAAAGTAAGATGGTCATTTCAAACATATCAAAAGATCCTGAGGATTATGAAACAAGAAAGTAGTAGACCTAAACAAAAAACAATTCAAAGTCTCTGAGCTGGTGGATCCAATTGGCTGTCCACCCCAAGAGGGCAAATTCCTTGGCCTGAATTGGGGTTGTTATTCATGCCATCTGCAGGAGGGATATGTGAGTGAAGGTATATTCAAAAAGAAAACATCCTCAAAAGCCTCATCTCCCTCAGTGGCATAAATTTGCCCGTTTGGAGTTAGCTCAAGAGCACCAAATACGTGACATTGAAAGTTTTATTCTCTGATCAGATAAAATTTGACCTTTACAATCCTAATGGCTTTCAACATTAAAAGCATGACTAGGTGGTCCCACCTGAGTAAACGGCACAGTAGAGGGGGCGCCATCATGATCTGGGGGGCTTTTTCCTTCAATGGAACTATGGTGCTTGAGGTAACGCAGAGATGTTAGATGGCAATTGGCTATGTGAAGATATTGCAGGGGCATACCTTATGACTGTAGGTTGTTGGCTGTGTGGAAATAACTGGATTTTACAACAGGGCAAGACTGCCTTTCACAACCCGTGGCTGACAAAGGATTTCCTCCAAGGAAATAACATAATTCTTTTGGATCATCCTGAATGATCATCGGCTTTAAATCCAATCAATTGAAACAACTTGAGGTTGGATGGCAATAGTTTAAAAAATTGACACTATCTAAAAACAGCAAATGCCCTCTTATAAGCCGCCTTCACCACTTAAGGGGGCTAGAGGGGCAAGATTCCCTCCCTCTATGTCCAGAGAGGGGGCAACATTCCCTCTAGCCTCTTAAAAAACACTAGTATTAAGCATGCTGAGACAAACATTTTAGTTGATTTGCCATAATGGTGCAGAATACAAATTATCCTAAATTGTTTATCAGCTGATAAAAAAGCCTATTTTAATTGAGAAATGACAAAACAATTAAATATAATCTTATCTAATCTTAATAGTGATCAACAAGTGGGTCACTAATTTCTTAAAAGAGATTCTGATCCCTGACCAAAACCAAATAAACCTTAAAGGGAAGTACACAGCGGGAGCATTTTGGTCGATGTCATCAATTTAATCTGTGATTCCTGCCTTAACAGACATATTTGCTAAGGGGCACAGAAATAATACTGAATAGTTTTATATAAAGCCCTACCTACAGGTCTGAAAGGATCTCTGTGCCTTGGAGCATCAACCAAAGACCAGACAGTGCCGGTGTTTGTTATGTAACGCAAAATAATAGGGGCTTATGGTTTTTAATGCAGGTCTGATGACAGTGGTGTGTGTTGTCCTGAAGTGACCTCGTACTTGTACATATGTTTAATTGGTGTCATCATAACCATATGGTAGGCTATGAATAGAAAAATAAATGTAACGGTTGATTGTCAAAAGGAATTATGAGCCTCATCCTAGCAGGTATGGGTAGTTCTAAATGACTTATGGAAGATTATACTTTTTTTCTCATAAACATTTCAGTACTAAACAGGGAAAAAACTACAAAGGTAAAAAAAAAATGGTGAAGAGACAAAATAACCAGTTTATCTTTTCCCCTCTCATTTGATATTATATAAATATTATCAAATATATAAATATAAATATATATAAATATATATATATATTCTGCATTGATGCAGCTTAGAGATACCCCTGTGTTTATAGAACTATAAGTATACTAAGTATAGTAACCTTTTTCCATCCCAAGATACTGATGGTTAATAACCTTTAAATTGTGAAAACTCCAAACCCATTCCTCAAACCCTGGAGCAATGCCATTCAAATGCATATCTTTGAAGTGGTGTCTTTCTGAAGGTAATCCAGTTGTTTAATACTATGGACAAGGGATCAACATTTCAATTTGTCCAATGATGAAGAGGTGAGAAGTTTTTAAAGATTTGTACCTTAATCAACTTAGAGTGGACATTTCTGCTTAGAAAGCAGACTGTTAGATATTTCTGAAAGAAAAAAAATAATGAACTAAGAAAACTTTCCTTTATCCTACCCTGGGGCCTATGGATTAATAGAAGTCAGACTTTATTTTGCTGTCATGCTGTTTACAAGCTTTAGCATTTATACAACAGCCGGTCGAATAACGCTTAGATGAGACAGATGTAACTCTAAAGTTGAAAAAAAAAACATTCCCTTAACGATCTTTGTCAGAAGATATCCTCCAATTTATTTTCAAGCACACATATTTCATATTAACATCATCTGTAGCGCAGTACTTTGGCCAACAATTTTCTAACACCAGTAAATGATTTTAGAATTATTATCTGCTTAAACTCAAAGCAATCATCTGTTTGTGGCAGTCTTTCCACAGAGTGCCGTCAATGGATAAACAGTAAACCCAGTTATTCAGTAGATTATAGAATATCTTCTAGCAACAATAATGCTGAGTTTCTGCCCAGCTTTTTTTGAGGAGTCAATCAGGTCCAGCGCTGGACTCTGATAGGTTATTTATGACACCTTAAGAAGTTCTGTTGTTGTTGTTTTTTTTTTATTATTATTGTTGGATTAGCAGGGCATTTTGTCTTGGAGAGGACACACAGTCTGCCACTCTGGGTTCTGACTAAATCCCCACTATGCTCCGGCTGGTTGCTGCAAAAAGCTGCTCCTTCGGATAAATGCGGAGGAAATATTGGAATGTAGGTACACTAAAAACATAGAAACACTAAACACTAAAAAAAAGAGGTAGTTATTATTTTAAAATTGGTATTGATCACCAAATGCAAGCCTCGCTTAAGCTCATTCTCCTGGACTAAGAATTTTGGTATTCAGACGAGTTGATGATTAACCTGATGACTGAAAGGTGGTCAAATCCTATGGTTGAAGAAAAAGCCAAAATGATATACCTTCAACAGCCATCCCTGACAGTGGTTTTCTAAAATAAAGTGTCTTTTTATTATGGCCAAGTATGTCTACGTTGCTTTCATCAAACCAAAAGAGTCTCACGGTTCAGTCAAACACAACATATCGGTCTAACTATTTCTGCTGAATTCCTTTAAGAGCAAAGACAAATTCTCTGCAACACATACTTGTTCAGTATTTTTCATATATTGCCAAAGATGGAGTCTACTGATCTTGCTGAGACATTCAATCTTGAGGGAAGGTATTAAATAAGCTGTAGCTTTACCTCCTAAATACAATGGAGCACTAAGGGTATATTTACTTTATATATAACTGCATTGGCATTTAAGCAAATATTATTTTCATAATAACAGCAAAGCAAAAGAAAATGTTACAATAGCTAAAGGGTAATAAAACATCCTTTACATTTCTAAAATAACAACCCATTTTATGTGGTCAACATAAGATAGCTGTATTTATAGTGCAATAAAAAAAAAAGAAATGGCAATAAACATTTGAATTAAAATACAAATGTCCATTCAAACTGATTTAATCAGAGATTTGTTTCAGGATTAAAGATGTTGTTAACTGCACTATGTTCTATTTTGAAATCAGTTAGACACCTATAGTCTATTCATTGGGCACCGACTATCTACTCTAAAACTTCCACTATAGCATGATATGTAATATATAAAAACTGCTCACATCAAAATCTTTCTAAAAACAAAACTTAAGAAAGCCAAAAATCCAAAAGTAGGAATATTACATCTATAAACTGGATCTAATAATTAAAATAAAACTTAACAAAAGGTCGAAGTCATCCAAAGCAAAACAGATATTTAAGACAATACATCTTGACGGAAATGTGAGCAGAATATTGTGATGGGTTTTCTTTGAAACGATAATTTTTGGTCCTTGTGTAGACTATAAACTATAAGCAAATGCAACTGAGACTCAATGTGTTTGAATAACCAAAAGATATTAAATACATCTGAACTCACAGTAATTATGTCACAAGTCTCTCTAGGTTGCTTTCTCCAAGTTCACACCCAATTGGAAGATTTACTGAGAGAAAAGCGGCCAGAGGTGCTTTGTAGATCCAGCTCAATGCATGGCCACAATTTTAGTCTTTTGATAAAAAATATTAGCCGATTATTTAAGACATCCCAGATGTCCAGACTTCTTCAAATCACCTGCAAAATAAAGATTATGAAGATGCTTTAGAAATTCTGTTCCTAGCAAAGATCTGTCGTAAAGATCTACAGTTTTTTTTATACCATTCCTACCACTAGAATATTTAGCTTGACAAAAAAAAAAAAAATTGTTTCCTGTAATATGTGTTAAAAATAATGGTTGGTTCTGTTACTGCTGCAGCAAAGTAATCCTGAACAATTACACTTTCACAGCTATGCTCCAGGTCTGATGTTTCATTCACTGTTTTGTGCCATAAGACATTCATTTTGGACATTGGGGACCAATTTCCATGCTGGTTTTCTTTGCAAACTCTAGAAGCTTCCAAACCCTTAACCATGCTTGAACCCTTAATCTCTGCTTCAGGCTTATTCTTTCTATTTGGACGACGAAAGAAACCATAAATAGGAATGCAGGCAGAAGTCAGTAAGCTGACCTGGATGGTAGCAGGAACGTTAGTAGAGTCCAATCTCTCTCAGGTTGATCTTGATGATGACGTCAGTGACAGCATCAAACACAAACTGCACATTCTTGGTGTCTGTGGCACATGTAAAGTGGGTGTAAATCTCCTTTGTGTCCTTTCGTTTGTTTAGGTCTTCAAACCGTAACTGGATGTAAGCCGATGCATCATCATAAGAGTTTGGACCTGAAATGAACAATTTAAAATGGTTATTTGTCTGCTATACTTTCCTTTAAATTGGATCCTATTTTCCTTGAATGTAGAGGTTACTTTTTTATCTTAGAATATCTTTTTTAATCTTTTTTAGTCACTATCTCTAAACGTAGAAGTTACTCTTCCTGAATAGAAGTGTTTTTTTTCCAAAGTAATAGGTTACTTCCATATAACATAAAGGTTACTTCTCCACTTTCAATGAGTCTTCCCAAAGCCGGAGGTCACATTTCTCAGAAAAGGGGAGGTTTCTTTCTCTGACTTTAGGTTCGAAAAAGGTTCTAGAGTAAATTCAATGTTTCCCCAGCTTCAAGTGTAACTTCAACATTTTTAAGGTTACCTCACTGAATCTTTCAATTCATTTGTTCTGAACATTGAGGTTAATTGCCGGGAAACTTATGAAAATACTACTCAAGAACTTAAAGGGATAGTTCGGGATTTTTGACATGAATCTGTATGGCATCCCCATCACCAGTGTCATGCAATCACACTGACTTACCCCTGGCAGCATCCTGTGAGCAGAGTTCTGGTCCAGCTTAGGTCAAGCCGAAAGTAGTCCGGCAGGTTTGCTAGACCCAGCGAAATAAAACGTTTCTCTTCCCAAAACATTATGTGTTCAAAAGAGTGATATTTTTGCATCCCAAAAACATTGTAGTGGAAAAAGTCACACGTCGTTATCACTTGGTCCTATTTTCTCTCTGTTCGTATCACTGCGCGCCGTCATTCTGACAGCGAGCTCAACAACAGCCAGATGCATGTCTCACTCCGCCTAGCTCCTAGCTAGGCGGAGCGAGACATGCATCTGGCTGTATTCAGGTTAGTAGGCCCTAGCTGTCAGGTCATGGTGTCGCACGCACTGATACGAACAGAGAGAAAATAGGACCAAGTGATAACGACGTGTGACTTTTTCCACTACAATGTTTTTGGGATGCAAAAATATCGCTCTTTTGAACACATAATGTTTTGGGAAGAGAAACGTTTTATTTCGCTGGGTCTAGCAAACCTGCCGGACTACTTTCGGCTTGACCAAAGCTGGACGAGAACTCTGCTCACAGGATGCTGCCAGGGGTAAGTCAGTGTGATTGCATGACACTGGTGATGGGGATGCCACACAGATTCATGTCAAAAATCCCGAACTATCCCTTTAAAGGCTGTTTTCTTCAAACTTAACGGTTCATTTCACACATCTTAAAGGCCATTTTCCCCTTAAATGAATGTTTCCGAATGAATCTACATGTCTTCCTTGAACTTTCCTTGTAATCATTGGAGACATTGCACAATTTATGACATAATGTTAAGGAAATCCTAGAATGTTCTCTCACTGAACTTTTTTTACTTATTACAAACACTATCCCATGTGGTCTGAGAATGTTTGTGGTTATTGTTTGTTGTATATTGCATCCAAGCAGTAAAAACAATTGCTTCAAGTCCAGTTCTTATACACTATCTTACTGTGATGAGAAGATCTTATCAACAGCAATGTGTTAATCACTCATTGCTATAATAAATGATAACCTAATATTGAAAAATCAGAAAACAACAAATCCCACAGTTAGCAGGTAGTAGCAGGTATTTGTTTTTACCAAAATAGTACTATGTATTTATTTTTTTCTAAATCAGATGCACCAAATAAAGAAGAATCATCAAAAGAAGTCTGGGCACATATGGAAAAGTCTTTAATAGATTGTGAAGGTACAGATTTGTCTCACCAGTGTACTCGGGGTAGCAGATAGTAAGCGGGCTCCTGGTGATCTTGTCTTCAAACAAGTCTTTCTTGTTAAGGAAGAGGATGATGGAGGTGAGAATGAACCATTTATTGTTGCAGATGGAGTCGAACAGCTTCATGCTTTCATGCATGCGGTTCTGTGGAGAACAGCTGAATTAAATTTGCTTCAAACAATCTTTCCTTACAGATGGTTTTCTTATGTTACAGAATGAACTCTGCTGTTTCTTTTTACAGCTTGAAAGAACTTCAGTGTTATAAGACACTATGAGCTCATACTGTTCATAAGAAGCAAGGTGTAAGAATGCCCGTAAGAAAACAAAGCAGGGCTTGCTTGTAAAAAACATTTTAAGAGTTGTAGTCACTCCATTTAAATTTCTGCTAACTGCCTGTTCTAAAGAAAGTGGGTCAGCAACCAAGAAATCCTGTCTTACCTTCATCATAATAACATACAGCTAACAGCATGGTAAATATGAGCTACACTCTGCAACATGAGATGGCCAAAATCCAGGCCAAAATCAGGGATGTTTGGCCTCAACAGGTTATTAGGTATGAAAAATTAAAAAGCAGAAAATAGGCAGTTTATTCATTAAGGATTGTTTCCCCTAAGATCACCCAACACAATGAAACACAAAGTTACTGTACAGTAAATTTACTTCAAAAAGTTTTTTTTTTTAATACAGACCCAGTGATAAAAAATATGCCAATCAAAAAGTCAGCATTGGAGGCTATCTGCCTCTCTAAGCAGCATCCTTCACACTTGCAGTAAACTTGAATCAATGCCCAGCACTGGTTGTTGTGTCTTAGTTGAAGATTTTAATCATGAAATAGGGCTAACTCACCTTACAGTAGTTTCAATTGGACCCACTGTGAAATTGTCTGTTTACTGGTCCTACCTGAAAGTGTGGGGGATAATGTTTTGCATGTCTCCACATGTTATGCATTTGGTTCTTGAAAATAAAAGGCTGTGAGTGTTGCCTATTTTTTTTTTCTCAACTTAGTTCCAAATTTGATTGTTTTGGAGTTTTAAGAGGACCGTAATTATTTTTTCTGCAGCAGTGCAAAATAAAACCAACCCCACTGAATGACAAATATGACATAAGAAGAAACAAAAAACAAGCAGCTATACTCAGGAGTACACCCACAGTAAATGCATTGGATTTTGTGGATAGAATGCAAAAAAACAGTTTGTGTTTGCATGTTTGTGTTAAGGAGGAGTTTGATCTAGATAAATCATAAACTTCATCTAAATAGTAAAAACTGAAAACCAGATTTAAGCATCTTGTGTTATAGCAAGTTGCCAGTATTTTACGTGAGTTTGATTGATTTCAAGTCTTAGCCAGCTTGTTTAGGATGCGGCCCAGTTTAATTTTCCATACCTGCACATCTTTTTGAAATTACGGTCGCAGAATATCGATCTTGTGGTTATGAATCATGAACTCATGGCCACGCTGACAACAGTGCATCCATCACTTACCATTTCCTCATCCTCAGCTAAGACAAGGTCGTAGTCACTGAGCGCTACACAGAAAATGATGGCTGTGACTCCTTCAAAACAGTGGATCCACTTCTTTCTCTCTGAGCGTTGACCACCAACGTCAAACATTCTGCAGACACACAGAAAACACACAGACTAAATGCATAAATAAGTTTACTCAGAACACCTTTATTGTCATTTTAATTCCAGTGATTTACAAGGTTTCCTAATCCGGGGCTCAGGCACACATAACATGAACGCTGATGGCATGCTGGCGACCTGACTTTAGTAATCTCCTGTCTGCATGTGCCCCGCAGCCGGCTCCACCTGAAGCACCCTGTGGCAATCCAAATCCATACTAAGCTGACACAGAAATGAAATGAAAGAACACCATGTCCTGTGACACCAATTTGATGATTACACACTTCAAGGTTCTCAGCACCAATGCTTTTATAGTTGATGCTTTACCAATATTTCAAAGTACAGAAGCTGGAGGAGAAATGAAATAATGTAGGAGTGAGTGAAAAAAATTTAATTACTGCGATTGCTCATACAGTATTAAACCAAATCCATCAGCATTTATTAAAACAAAAGCCCTGATTTGTATGTTTAGTGTCTCAAAGCAACGTAGTTGAGAGCTTTACTGCCAAAAAATTAATTAATGACAAACAGAACCCTAGCCTCACAAAGATATTTTCTACCATCTAAATCTCCCATCTCTTTAATTTAGGAACCAGAGTAGTGCGTGTTTGTGAAATGGATGTAAAACAATACATTGATTTAAAAATCTGGTCCACAAAAAAACCTGTTTGAGAAGGAGAATATTTTGGCTTTTATGTCTATTATTCAACTTTTTTCTATAACACTTCTACATGACATAAGTCACCTAAACATAGTTTAATCCATTATTTAAAAAAAAAAGTATTAATAAAGTAAAGTACAAAAGAAATATACCAGCGCAGGGTTGTCTACTTAAACCTAAAGGCTGTGCAAGGAGAGCATTAATCAAATAACAAGCCATGAGGCCAATGTTAACTCTAGAGCTGCAAAGTGTACATTGGAAAACTTGTAAGCATAAGTATTAGTAATGCCTTTCCCACATCTAGGCTTTATAGACAGTTTTTTTTAAAGCCAAAGAAAATCACATTTACAGTTTACAACAAATCATGTAGGAGAAACAGGACATTTATGGAATAAGCCAGGGGTCTGCAACCCGCGGCTCCGGAGCCGCATGCGGCTCTTTAGCGTCCCCCTTGGGGCTCCCTGGAGCTTTTTCAAAAATTTATGAAAATCCATTTTTTTTGTGTGCGTGTGTTTTAATTTGGTGTGCAGGAGGTCATAGAAAAATTCATTATGTTTCCCAATGCTGTAAACATTTGTATAATAAATAAATGTGAACAATAATTTAAGTCATAGCCATAGAGATCAGTGGTTACAACTAGCTGATGAGAAAAGAGGATTCAAACAATAGAGCGAATCATTTGCTTTGATAATCAATGCGGAAGGATTACCTGCATTTTCGCTTTGTAATGAGAGGTTGTCAAAAAATAAAAACAACAATTTGGAAAGGCATTTCCAGGGAAGGCAAGCTAAATATGCAGCCAATCACAAAATTAGGAGTGAGAGAAAAAGTGCGATTGCAGAACTTCCAGATAAATTAGAGGAGCGCAAAGATAGATTTAAGAAGTGGATTACATCTCCAACCTCCACTATTGCTGCCAGTTTTGTTGCAAGGATGGAAAAGCGTCCACAGATCAAATATATAGCACTCTGATACAGTCGTGGGAACTTTCTTCCATTTTCTCCCCAAATCCTAAAAATATAAATCACACCAAGGAACGCTGGTGACGGAGGATATTGGATTTAAGGTTAGAGAGCTCTGCTCTGATGGATGTCAGTTCCTGCATGGTTCCTCATGACTCAATCAACTCCTTCCAACACAAACATGTCCACCATAGAAAGATGCCTTTATTGTGTTTCTATAATTTTATCAATGCAGCAATACTTAAACCGGGCGGTTAAGGGCGGTGATGCGGCACACAGTGAATTCCTCGCAGTGAAAGCGTTCACTGCTCGTCCCACACCTCAGGCTACTATGTGACATTTGCTCCTGGATAAACATTTAATCATGAATGCTTATTCTATATTCCAGCCCAGATAGTCCTTTTCTATAGTGGGATAATACACTTAGAGCCAGTGTTGCCAAACAAGGCTTATATAAGACTTTTATATTTTTGCGGCTCCAGACGGATTTATTTTTTGTTTTTTTTTGGTCCAATATGGCTCCTTGAACAGTTTGGGTTGCCGACCCCTGGAAGAAGCCGTTCAGAGGCCTCATGCATAAAAGAGTGCACAGCTTTATTGACTAAAGATAGCTTTTATAAGTAAAGATAGCTTTAGCAAGAGATTCCAAACTTTCAGTACCCAAACAAAGTAGAATGTATAATATTATGCATAAATGTCTTAATGTACACTTTTCCTTCATACATCACATCACAATTTGCATGGAACTGATCCATGGATAATGTGTTTTATTGCCCACCCCACTCCTGGACCTTAACACATAAAAATTATTATAAATACCTGGGAGGCTCCTACCACTAACCCAAATAACGATACTGTGTTAAGGCGCTATTGTTACAGCATAGCAACAATTAAAGGTATACTGGAGGATTTTCTTTTTCGGGGTGGATCATTAAAATAAGTCGTTCTCATGTCAGTCAGTCTGGTGATATGTATACGTAAGGCAGTCCTATGTGCTTGTCCGAATGTTCACTTACCTGAGGTGATTCTGATGGTGGAAAAATTGCAAAACTTTTGGAAAGTAAGTTGTATGAGCGAGGTAAACAGCAACATTTAAACAGAGCGGCACAAGGAGAAATGGACTTGTTCATGCTCTTACATGTGTTCCATAGGCGTTCCCTCTGGGGAGCAGGTACAGGGTTGTGCATCTACATTTTTTTTTTAAAGTGGAGAGGGTGGGTCTTTTCAAAAATTCACCAAGATCCTCCATAATACCTTTAATTAAACGATCTTAAAAAGTATGTCAGCTTCTTACTGTTTAGTTCTAAAAAATGTGTATGAAGTTGAAAAAGTTCTGTCTCACTGATGCATTGAGCTTTAATTGCTGCTTCATGCCGATCAATGTTTTAAAAATCATTAATATGTGAATATGACCCCCATGTTTCTATTAAACCTTGTCACCACGCAAACATATATAGTAGACTACATTTGATGTTTAAAGAACTGTGCATAATTAATAAATAAACATAAAAATACCTAGAGGCAAGCTCACACAATACAACTACAAGCACAGCGTTATAATGAAAAACGTTTTATTTCTAAGAGTAAATGTGACACTTTAACAAACTGCATCTTACAGCAGTGTAACAACAGTTACTGTACACCTCATATTCCATGTGAAAACCACCCCCTCGATTTAAATTGTGATTTGGCTGCAATGGGGAAACCTAAAGGAAACGGTTATATACCCCATCTGTCAATCAACAGCTTCTAAAATACTCCTGCTGCACAGAGATGTATTTGGATCTTGATCTGGCATGGGCATGCAAGGTTCCTTTTTGGCACTAAACAATCCAAACCTTGAATATGCCACCCATCATCCTCATTCACCAGCAGGTCAGTAGGATCTCTGAACACCCACACTCTCCACATTGTTTCACTGACGATTTCCTCAATCACTGTCAGGCTGCCATCATTGCACAGTTATGTACACCTTTACTCAGCTATTTATGGACATGGGATTTATTGCACCTTGTCCTTCTGATTAATAATCACATCTAACTTGCTTGGAGACAATATGCTGATGCTCCAATTTTTTTCTGTCCTGTTCTCGCAACAACAACAATGCACATATCCATGACCTAAACAGAGGAATATTTACAGTTTACATCTGGCTGAGGCTGTTTGTGTTTAGGTGTATTGAGATGTTAAATGAGGATAAATGTGATTCAGTTTCATCATTCAGAGTAAATCATTAAAGCTCAAAGTCTTGAAAAAAACATCCGGTTCAATACTCCCTCAGCTTAAATCAATTAAAAAGAGCCACATTCCTTTATTGGGTGTTTTACTGCTTTTAAGATTCTTATTTTGGATTTAAAAAGTTTGTACGGCTGCTATAAATTGTCACACCAGGTTAAAAAGATTAGGTGGATTGCCGCATCCTTTCACTCGACTTTGAATTTTTTACATCCCGAGTTTTGCATTAAACATGCATGCTTTTTGTGTGCAAACACCCTATTTGCATGAGGTTCCTGGTCAATAGACCAAATATTAACTTTGTGGCCAAAATGGCTAACTCTCCATGGCTACACTACACATCATCAAAGACACGCCCATGGTGAAACATGGTGGTGGCAGTATCATGCTGTGGCAATACTTTTTTTTCTGCAGATCCAAAAAGGTTGGTAAGAGGTGATATGAATATGGTGGACGTTTAACACCAAACAATCAAAAAAGAAAAAAAAACTGCAAAGAACTCAAAAAGGCTCAATTGTCAGAGGCCTTCACTTTCAAGCAAAAAAAAGTTGGGAACCAGAGCCACGAGTCAATGATTTAGGTCAAAGTAGATTCATATTAGAATGGCCTAGTCAAAGCCCAGACCTAAATTAAATCAATAATCCATGGCTTGTGTTCACAACGGATGTTCAAGGATAGTTTCTGTACAATCTGACCGAAACAATGTTATTTTTGCAAATACTAAATTATATCTATTAGATGCGCAACAACTGAAGAGATGTAACCAGAGGACCGCTGCTACTTTGTGTAAAATCCAGCACATAAAACATTAACATTTGTTGTTGTCATGTAAAAAACTTCAGATACAGTATTTGGAGTACAGTAAATTTGCCAAGCAAAAACAAAGAAACCAAATAGAAAATGCCTTCATGCTTGTATTTCAAGTTGAGAGACATTATCAAAACAAAATGTATTTGACAAATTAACGGAACAAAGAGATTGTTTTAATAGCCACAAAGAAAAAAAAAAGAAAAAAGAAACCAGCTATAATTGAGCAGTACTAACTTGAAGTATAGATCTTTGAAGGTGAAGTGAGTTTCCACGATCCCAGTGGTCTTTACGCGGGTGCGCAACACATCCTGCTGAGTCGGGATGTAGTTGGGTTTGCAGATCCTATCCAAGGCATTCAAATAGCTGAGGGAGACAAAAGACATTATCTAAGATCAAATGTTATATTAGTATGGAACCCAAAGATTTTTTTTCCTGTTATTGTGTTTGCTTTTATCATCTTTTACCATTATGCCTTTTAATAAAATTCCCAAGTTGCTTCTTACTCATATATTTACTGTTGGGCAGGAAAAATCTCCCAGATACTAAAGCTTAGTCATGTAAAGCAAAACATCTAAGGACGCCTACTGTAAGAACAATACTAAATATGGGCTCGTATTTGCATGGATGATAAACACTGGCTTCTTGTGGGTTGAGTAAAAACAGACTAACTCCACTAGTTCCTCTTGTCAAACAGTTTGCACACAGTGCAAAGAGAGTCATGACAACTCAGGTGTTTGCATAACAAAGAAAACGTCCTTCACAGCGAGTGAGATTTTCGCTCAGATGGGTGTTATATGAAGGAAACAGACAGCATGAGCTGCATGTGTGTTTGATTAGAAATATAAGAGAGGCTCTAAATTTAGCTCTTTGTTTGCTTTTTCACTTAGACTGTTTCAGTTAGTGGTGGACTATAAAAAAACAAACTAAGACCAGCATAGAAAATAATAATGCCTTTCAAAAGTCTTCATATCCCATTTTGCTAAGTTACAAAACCGCAAACTTAGAAGTATTTTACTACGATTTCATGTGACACACCAGCTTAAGGTGGTGCATAATCTATCTCATGGTTTTTAGTTTTTATTACTATCATTTGATTAATAAATAAAGGTCTCAATAACATGCTGTGGATTTGTAACAGCACCTCCCCTACCATCATCCCCACCATGGATCCAAGTCAATACGAATAGTTGAACTTAGAGTTAAAGTAAAAGTCATCTGGGGCATCTCTCTACCAGCTAATCACCTCAAAAGACTAAAATTTTTGCCATTCCTGTTTGGAAAATAAATAAAGTTCAATCATACTGTATGTCTTACCAGCAGTCAACTGGATTTATGTGTGGACTTTGCCTCACCCATTCTAATGCAAATGATCAAAACCGTTCCATTATACCCCTAGCTGTATGTTTATTGTTGATAGACAGAGTTCATTCAAACAACGTATTTTTGCATGGAGGCAAAAAAAAAAAAGTTATCTAATAACAGCACCGTCTTCTGTGTGTATGCTGTCTCCCCAGTACGGTTCAGTGCAAAGGGTAAATTAAACTTTTTCTTTAACAATAGCCTTGTTCATGCAGCCAGATTTGGAGCAACTAGCTAATAGTTGTATTGTTCTCCAATCTGAGCTGTGGAGCTCTGGATATTGCCATTGCCTGATCTGTCAGTTTGAATGAAAATCCATATTCTAGTGGGTTAACAGTTAAGCTACACCCTTTCAGCTTTCAGATTTATAACTGAATGGTGCTGAATACATTTTGGAAAGTTACCTAAAAACTGTAACATGCATTCCTCCTGCAATATGCTGTGTTGTACCCGTGTTGAGTCTGTGCTGAGGTCTTTTGCAATCTCAAACTGTTTCCTGCTAAAGATAAGGTTGTGAAATACACCCCCACCCCCCCACCCCATCTATTGTGATCCCTTTTCTCAGCCCAGATGTGATCCAGATTTATTAGGCTTTAAGGTGTTAAAGTCATTTTTTAATTTTTATTTGTAGCTAATCTTGAACCCGCCGTATATGCCCCTTTAAAAACACACTTCTTTGTGTTTTGTATATCACATACAATGAAAATGAAACAAAGTTTGTGGTTGTGACATCACAATAATTTAACAGATGAAATGGCAATGAAAAAGTAAGCCAGAAAAAAAACTTAAGAGATGTGAGGAATAGAATATTTCTTTCTTCTCTGGACAGAAAACCAACAACTGAGCCGTGATTAGACCTCAGCTTATCCCAAAATTCTGACGGTGATAATTAATGTGTATTGCTTAGTGTGAGATCCTTACTATGCCGCCGAGTCATTTAGCTGATACTCTCGAGAACGATCAAAGCAAGCTTGCACGCCACTATCGTTCCAAAGCTTGCAGATCACACCGGTCAGCTCCGGAGACATCACTCCTTCCTCCGCTGTGCTCGCCAGGGTGAACAGCTGCCGTGCATCATCCTGGAAAAAAAGTTCAGTAACCTGCATTGCAAAATACTTTCTGTTGTGATTTAAACCACGATTGAGCAGAAGTTGTTGACTCACCGCTCGGACAGGATCTCCGAAATCTATCTTTAGTAGCCCCATTGCCCTGATGATGGCCATTATGGACTGGATCGTGTTGCTGTACACCACCACTTTGTACTGCTTGCACTCTTCCTCTGAGTAGCCATCTTCGTGGATGATTCTGATGCATAAATAAAACCAGGCTGTCACATTCCATATAGATATCCATCAGTAAAAACAGAGGTTTTAACAAGCATATTTCTAATCACACATTTGCAAGATCTCATGCATCACTGTCATTAGCAGTGGTCTTCTTCTGTGACCAAATGGCATGCTTAACGTGGGAAACGGCAGACTCTATTCAGGCCCTGCCAGGAAGCAACCAGTCTCTGAGCCCTTTGTTTAAAACACTAGGCAAAAATGGAGCTTCCTCATTCGCCTGAGCAAAGTTTTAACTGTGCTTCTACAATTTTTACAGACAGATGAGCTAAACAATGTAGCATCTAAAAGAGGGAATGAAATGGAATGATCTTTCATCTTAAAACTAAAAGAAAAGATGCCAAAAAATAAACAATTGTAATAAATATTTGGACTTACTTCATCTGCTTGACAATAGTGCTTTTCCCGGATTCCCCGGCACCTAAAAAAAAAAAAAAAGGTTTCTAATAACTATTTTGTTTTTCTTATAGCATTTTATAGATAAAATACTCAGTTTCTTTTCTCATATTTTTAGCCAACTTCTGGTTGTCAAACATCCTGGCTGCAAAACATAATTTTTTGTCTGTCAGCCTTTGTTCTCTATAATATCATCAATAGAATTAGAAAAAAAATCTTTTGTAAGCGTTTTGTAATAAAGTATTATCATATACAGATGATATCAGACTGACATGAGATTAACCTCAGCTTTCACAATATCAGGCATCTATGATGGATGATTATCCCATGACTGGCAAAATCCTCTGAAAGCCTCCATTACAATAAGTGATATTGTAGATATAATACTGATGAGCAGGGGAAGCATTTTCACTCGAGTAATTAATATCTGCAGCAGTAAGCCAAACAGGAAGCAGCAGTCATGTATCTGGCTGTCACCATGTTTTTTTCCACTCCAGGGACAATCCCTCAAATCGCACGAATCTGGGTGTCAGAGAGCAAGCGGGCTGTCCAAACAACACCTATGACTCAAAGAGTGTGTCAGCAGTTTAGGTGCACCCCCAATAACAAATGTTAACCTGCTGGTTGACCCAAACCCAGCTGTGCACACTGATCACAGGAAGGCTCCATGCTAGTTTGGCCCTTTTTTTTTCAGTCGCTAGGATTTTGATTGTTTTTTTTTTTGTTTTTTTGTAGTTTCTTTCCTATTTAAACTACCATTCTTCTTAACTGGTATCATGGAGCTCTGATGGACAGAACATGTGTAAAGTGTAATGTTTGTCTTTTAAATGCCATATAACAGTTAATAAAAAATACATAAAAAAGATTGGCCTTGTTCCCTCTAATTTCTTTACCCTGAAACTGTTTGTGTAGTCTGTTTATACAAAGGTAAACAACTTAAAATAACTGCTTTAGGGACTCTGTAGTGCTTCTATTAATATTTATGGGAATGTTCTCATTCAGCTTCATGCCTCCAAGATGATAGGATCTAACAGCTGCTTGCAACAACTTCCCACCAAAAAGCTAAAAACAGAATGGTTACATCTGGCTTTAGTTGTAAATAGGAATGTCTAATAAAAGGGTGTCTGAAAAGCATCCCTGGGCAATTTTGCATTCTTAAGAGTGATTCTGTATGGCCCCTGACAGCAGAACAGCAACAATGCTTTATGCACATAAAGACTTATCTTTAGACACTTTTACAAACAAATTAATAAGTTATTTTCCTTTCTATCTAATTTTAGTCAAAAATGAGCATACACATCCAGCAACCTATACTCAACACCAGACCTGGGAGTGCCCTAATATGCTTTTAATTAATTTAATAAGCCTAGCTACATTCCCGGCCCAGGGTCTTTCTGCATGGAGTTTGCATGTTCTCCCTGAGCATGCGTGGGTTCTCTCCAGGTACTCCGGGTTCCTCCCGCAGTCCAAAAACATGACTGTTAGGTTAATTAGCTTCTCTAAAGTCTACTTTGGTGTGAGTGTGAATGATTGTTTGTCCTGTTTGTCTCTGTGTTGCCCTATGAAGGACTGGCGACCTGTCCAGGGTGTACCCCACCTCTTGCCGGCTGGAGATAGGCACCAGCACCCCTCTCGACCCCACTTGGGATTAAGCGTGTCTGAAAATGGATGGATGGATGGGTGGATGAAGCTTGGCTACATGAAGGAAGCATTATCAGAGACATACTGAGACAAAATCTTGATCCTAAAAATGGAAAGAAAAAATCATTTTCTAGGCCAAAAAATATTTTAATGAGGCAAATGTGTAGAACTCTTTATATTTAGGATCAAAGTAATCTAAGCCTGCCTTCCCCACAACAACTGGATTATTTGTTTGAATAAAAGATTAACTTTTTAATTTATTGTTAAGCAGGTGTCTAAAATTGATAAAATCTATTTGCTTTTTTATTTTTTAAGTTTTAGTTTTGTGGATCTGGAGAAGGCATTCAACCATGTCGCTTGGGGGTTCCTGTGGGGAGTACGGAGTACTGGGCCCTTTAATAAGGGCTGTTATTACCGGTCTCAGAGCCTGGTCTGCATTTCTGGCAGTCGGCCTCATTTCCAGTAAGAGTTGGACACTGCCAAGGTTGCCCTTTGTCACAGATTCTGGGTGGTCGACAGGTTGATCGGTCCGGCGTCTGCTGTGAAGCTGGCGCTGTACCGGTCTGTTGTGGTAAAGAGAGAGCTGAGCCAAAAGGCAAAGCTCTCAGTTTACCAGTAAATCTAAGTTCCTAACCTCAGCTATGGTCATGAGCTTTGGGTCATGAAAGAACACAAGCGGTTGAAATTAGTTTTCTCCATAATGTGTCTGTGCTCTCCCTTAAGGTGCTCAATCATCTGGGGGGGACTCAGAGTAGAGCCGCTGCTTCTCCACGTCGAGAGGAGCCAGCTGAGGTGGCTCAGGCATCTGGTTAGGATGCCTCCCTGGTGAGGTGTTCCAGGCACGTCCAACTGGGAGGAGACCCAGGGCATGCTGGAGGGACTAAGTTTCTCTCGTGCTGGGAGCACCTTGTGGTTCCCCTGGAGAAGCTGGCCCAAGTGGCTGGGGAGGGGGACGTCTGGACCTCCCTATTGATGTTGCTATCCCCCCCAATAAGCATAAGAGGAAGGATGGATGGATGGATGGATGGATGGATGGATGGATGGATGGATGGATGGATGGATGGATGGATGGATGGATGGATGGATGGATGGATGGATGGATGGATGGATGGATGGATGGATGGATGGAGTTTTCAACAAACAACTCATGCCTGTAAAAATTAAAACAAAAAAACTGACTTGTATTATTTATGTTTTTTTAAATGGAAATGTTCTCGCCATACATAGTGATGTATAGGTTTTCAGATGTGTTCCTCACAATACTAGTTTGGTGTCTGACTAAGTTGAGGCTGGTAAAATATAATTCACTTTCAACAATAATATGAGCTAAAACTATAATTAACCGTTCCCCTTATCAATGCTTCCTTTAGACAACAGCAGTACATGTGATTTCTTATCATTAAATATACAAAGTTAGATGTAACTATGATCAATTTTCTGCAGGGAATAAAAACAGGTGCATGTATGAAACTGTGCATAAACATGCTATCACACACTTTTCCTTTATACATTGCAGTTGACAGAAATCAAACCCAGCTGGATGAACTGCTTGGTATGCCAAGTACCCACATCCAAATGAATATGTTAAGTAGTATAAATAGCTGGATGGCTCCAACTGCATGTCAAAATAGACATTGCACCTCCTAAAAAACTCCCACTACAAAGAGGATTATTTAGACCTTGAGCTGGCAAGGAGATGCACCGTTCTTTAATGCCCCTCTTTGCACTGGAAAATCTAAACCAGATAATAAAACATCCATCATCATGCCCCAGCAAGGCAGCAACATCTCTGAAAACCCCTCCGCAATCATCCCCCAGCAATGGTCTCCAGCTTTACCAAGGGGGCCCTCCTTGCAAAATCATACATGGCTTTTACCCTGTTGATCCAGAATGCTGCTGACTGCATCTTTGCAAAATTTAAGATACTGTAGAACATCGCCCCAATTCTAAAGTCATTAAACTGCCCCTTGTATCTAAGAGAATAGACTTTAACATACTTATGTATTACAGACTTGTCAGTGTATAAACAAGTCCTCTCAAGTCTTCTGGCTCTAAACTCTACATACCCAGAGCCAAAAGCAAACATGGAGAAATCTGGAATAAACTCACAGAAAATTGCAAAGTGCTGAAAGTTGCCTTCAATCAATATTAAAAACATATGATAAGAGTTGACTTTGACTGTGCTATCAAAGGCAACTCTAAACATAATTTGTCAAGTTTTCTGTCCAACATTCCTTTCATTTTTAATGAATCATTTTATCTTAAATTTGATATGATCTTCTCATTTGAAATGTAAATTTTTATTTTGTTTAATTGTGTAACTTTTATTCCACTGCAATGTACTTTTTTTTCTCCATGAACAGCACAATTGTGTTGCTCATGAAATGTGCTTTAAAACAAACTAGCTTTGCCTTGTCACTGATACTATGATAAGCATACCAGAAGGAAATAGTAGGAACTACATATTTTAATTGGATGAGATCATAATTGTAATTGTGTTAAAATGTTGATGAACAAATTATTGTGAGATACCCATTACCTGAAGTATGTTTTAAAACTTAATAAGTAAATAAGTTATAATTACAAGTTATTGCTCATTTTAATTTGAGAAAAATACCTCTTAATTTAGGTTTCCCTTTTTCACAATCCAAAAAATTGGATTACTGTGTTTTTCATCCATGTTTAACTCTAAAATCTTCCTCTAGTTTCAGTGCTACTCAAAAAATATCTCTAGCTCTGAAATATCAATTGCCTGTACATCCATTATTTTGGGGGTCAATAAATTTACTCGTTGTGAAACTATCAGAATCAAACAGAACAATCATATTCAAATTATTATTATTATTCATTTCTTTACTTCACTTTTTAATGAGACTGCAGAAATTAACTGAAGCCACAGAGGCCTTTATACTTAGGACATAAAAGTTCATTAATGCAAATAAACATCTTAAGGCTACCTAATAACATCAAGAATAAGCCATCTATCTGAATGCAAAACATAGTGAAGGAAATTACACCAAATGTGTGTAATTACAAATATTGTACTATAATAGAATTATCTACTTGATTAAAACATATAGAGACATCTCAGATGGAAAACAGATTAGTTTTTGTGATGGTTTTTTTTTCTTCTTTTTTTTTTGAGGGGGGTATTTATGCATTACCTGGCATAAGAACGGCTTTTTTTTTATGAAACAGAAACTGTTGTATAAACTCTAGGCACTTAACCGCTTAATGAAGATTCTGTTTTTGCAGCCAAAGACAAAGAGGGATGGGAGTGTCAACACAATAATCAGTTAGCTTTAGGTTGCACACATAAAAGTACATACTGTGCCTTTTAAAACCCATGACACCGCTTAGGGTTTGTCAAGACATGCAGCCTGG